GCGGGAAGGTGGGCCCCGGGTTCCCGGGAGGAGGCTGTGCAGAGCGGCTGTGGGGAGGTCTGCGCCTTGCAGACCTGGGGGGTGCCGGGGGTTGTTCTCTCAGGCCGGTTCTGCCCTGGGCCCTGCGGAGGGAATGGCTGCTTGCCTGCCTTGTTCTTCCTTTAAAGCAATTTCTGCGGCCAAGCTCTGAATCCCCCGGAGTGGGAATTCTTTCCGCAGCCTTTGAGTGTGGTTCTTGCTGCCTACAGCGCGATACACGGTGAGGTCCTTCGGGATCAGGAGGAACGAGAAGATTGCTGTTCACTGCACGGTTCGTGGGGCCAAAGCAGAGGAGATTCTGGAGAAGGGGTTGAAGGTGAGGACACGCCTGGTTAGTCCCAGGCCCAGTGGGGGTGCTGAGGGTTTGGAGGCAGCTTCACCTGGTGCATGCTGCTCTGTCTGTGCTGTTCCTCTCTCCAGTGGCTCTTTCAGCTTTTTTCTATGAATTAGTTTGTGTAGTTACTGGTTTATTTTGATGTTTTTGCTGCTGTGATTTATGAGCATGTGGTGGGAGGAGAATCTTGAGGCTAAAGATTTGGTGTGTCTTGTAAGGGAGTTGTGGGTTTGAGAGCATTTGGAGTATGCAGAACTTTGTTAGAGTTAGGTGATGAAATAGTGACTGACAACAAACGTTTCAGGTGCGAGAATACGAGTTGAGAAAAAACAACTTCTCAGACACTGGGAACTTTGGCTTTGGGATCCAAGAGCACATCGACCTGGGCATTAAATACGACCCCAGCATTGGTATCTACGGCCTGGACTTCTACGTGGTGCGTATTCCCCACTCCCCTGCAGCTCCTGGGCTTGTCTGGAAGCTTTAGAAGGAAGCTAGAGTGCTGACTGGCTCACAGGAACTTGCTGCTGAGTGCTGGAAGATGGAAAGATGTCAACAAAATCCACGTGTAAATGGAGATTTTTTTAAGGCTGCTGCAAAATCCTTGAGTTACAACCTGTCTCAAAGTCTCTTCAGAGACAAAACCCGTGGCTCTGGCTGGTGCTGGGGTTGGGGAAGGGAGGAAGAGCCGTGGAATGTGCAGCAGGGATTTGGGAAGGGGGGTGCCCTGCTGGCAGGGCTGGGGCTGGCTGGGTAGCAGCCGTGTGGGATCCCATCCCTCTGGGGATCCCACCTAGGAGCTGTCCCCCTCAGCTCACCTGCTGCTCGGGAGTTCCTCAGTTTGCAGTTCCCACTGATACTGGTGTGTGAATTTCAGTCTTCTGTCGTAGCAAACTTAAGTTAATGAGTGCATGCAGAGTGAGGTGGTGCTGTGGGCTGCTCTCTGGCAGGTGCTGGGCAGGCCTGGGTTCAGCATTGCTGACAAGAAGCGCAGGACTGGCAACATCGGGGCCAAGCACAGGATTGGGAAGGAGGAGGCCATGCGCTGGTTTCAGCAGAAGGTAACGTCCTGGGGGGTTCCTAGGAAGTGTCAGCCACTGGGCAGGAGGAGATCTGAGCTCCTGGTCACAGCTTAATGATTTGTTGTCCTGCACTGGGGCAGTGGAAGCTGTGCTTGAGTGCTGCTCCTGCCCCTCTTGTGCTGAACTGAAAGAGCTCTTGTATCAACCTGTCTCACCCAGTTTTTGGAGGTGTTGTGTATACATGGATCACAAGGGTTGGGATGTGGCTGACCCAGCTACTAGCTCAGCTGCCAGGCTTGGAGGATGGAGTGATCCAAGTAAAACAGTTTTGGGGTTTCTGTCCAGAGCTGTGTCTGGCACAGGCTGGGCAGTGGACGGGAGATTTGAGAGCTTGGCTGGGAGTGCTCGGCCATGGGGACCACTGGTACATTTTTTGGGGTGGAGAGGCTGGGCAGTGTGTCTGGAGGCTCTTCACCAGCTACCCCAGAGTTCAGGGGCCAAATCCTGGGGCTGTACAACGGATGGGTGCAGTCCTGGTCAGGCCAGCCTGTGAAGGGAGGGGCTGCTCATTTCACTGGGCTGATGGGCAGAGTTTAATGCTGATCTGAACAATCCCCCCCTGGGAGTTCATTGCACAGCAGCAGAGTGGAAGGGTGGTGGCTGTGGGAGAACTGGGGTTGGTGTCAGTGTTGCTTGGCTAGCTTGGAATGACTGGTGACTTGGTTTTGGGCACAGCAGTTACTGCAGCTTTACCTGCTGGTACTTTCTCACTGTAGTTCTTTTTTTTCCTCTCACAGTATGATGGCATCATCCTTCCTGGTAAATAAGCAGTTCCCGTTACCAAAAAAAGCAAATAAAATTTTATAACCCCTAATTTCTGTTGTGAATTTCGTGGGGGCTGCCCAGAGGAAATGGCACATGCATCCTCACAGTGGGGCAGGGCTGAGAAGCCAAAACGTGGCCCAGGTTTCCTGCTCTGAGTGTCACAGGCCTCGTTGGAAGGGCTGGGCAAGGCCCATGGTGCTGGTGGAGCTGAGATCCAAACCTGGAGCCACAGGAGGGGTTGAGAGCAGCCAGCAGAACCCCTTCCAGGGTGCTGAGTGACCTCGGGTGCCTGTCCTGTGGCTGGTGGAGCTGTTTCTGCTGCACAGGTCCTGCTGTGCTCCATGGGCTGTAGAGATCCTGAAGCAGTTACTGGATGTGCTGGGAATGTAGTGGATGAATCCTGAGTGGTTTAAAATGTTTCAGGAGTGTGAACTTGGGGTCATTACACAGGCAGATGGTTTTGCCCTGCCAAGGAATGGCCTTTATTGCTTAAAGAGAGGATTCCCTGCAGGCCAGTGCAGCTCACACCAGTGGTGGGCTGCATCTTACAGTACAAAATTGTAATTAAAAAAACCAAGGAACAAACTGTTCCATCCAGACCTGCAGGTGCTAGTTAGGGGTGGGTGTTCAGGCACACCCCAAGCTGTGCTGGCCCCGTGGGCAGGGGCACCCTGTGGCTCCACTGCCCTGTGATGTAGCTCCCCGGGGGAGTCATGTCCACCCCCCTGGCTCCTAGCCAGCCTGCAGGCTCTAGGGGCCATGGTGGCCATGCAGTGCCAGCCCCGGGGGTGCTGAGCCACCCCTGCTCCCTCCAGGCCTCGGCACTGGGCTTGTAGCCCCACACGGTGTGGCTGAGGTGGCCACAGGGGACCAGGAGCGTGGCAGAGCCACCTTGCTGTGCCAGCTGGGGGGTAGCACTCCCCGGGCACCAGGGGGCCCCCAGCCCTTGGGCTGAAGTGGCTTCTGTGCTGTGTGGCCACGAGCTGAACCAGGGGTTGTCCCTGGAGGATCAAGGGCAGGTCTGTCTGTCCTGGACTAGCAGCAGAGCTGTGGGGAGGAGAGGGACCTGACAGACATCTGCCTTCAGAGGAGACAATTCCTGCTCTCAAAGAGCCTCCCTGTCACCTTTTCCTGTGCACAGCACTGCTGAGGCTGCTCCTCCAGTACCAGGTTCAGTTTTGGGCTCCTCACAAAAAAGGACCTTGAGGGGCTGGAGCGTGGCCAGAGAAGGGCAATGAAGCTGCTGGGGAAGGGTCTAGAGGCCAAGTGTGGTGAGGAGCAGCTGAGGGAGCTGGGGGTGCTGAGCCTGGAGCAAAGGAGGCTCAGGGGAGACCTTCTGGCTCTGCACAGCTCCTGACAGGAGCCTGGAGCCAGGGGGGGGTCGGGCTCTGCTCCCAAGGGACAGGACAAGAGGAAACAGCTTCAAGTTGCCCCAGGGGAGGTTGAGGTTGGACCTGAGGAACAATTTCTTCCCGAAAAGTGTTCCTCAAGGCCTGTGCCAGGCAGCCCAGGGCAGTGGTGGAGTCCCCACCCCTGGAGGGGTTTCCAGGCTGTGGAGATGTGGGGTGAGGGACGTGGCAGCACTGCACAGGACTGGATCCTGCCTGGGGTCCTTGCTCCTGTCACCACAAGCTCCAGCCTGACTTGAAAGTGACCAGTGGAACTGAGCTGAGGTGTCCCCAGGCACTGTTGGTCCCTTCTGTTGGATCCTGGCAGGCAGGGGCAGGTTCCTCCCTGCCCAGGAGATGCCAGGCCAGTGGTAAGGAGACGGTTCCCTGTGATGGCAGAGGGACCTGCAGCCCCAGAGCAGTGCCCCGGGGCTGGGGCCGGGCTGGGCAGGGTGGGTCAGCAGGAGACCTGCCAGTGGGTGCCCCAAACCTGCCTGGGTGCAGGGGAAGGAGCCCAGTGACAGATCCTGAGCGCTGGGCTGTGTGTGGAGCTCCAGGGCACTGAGCCAAGCCGTGGGCAGAGCCAGGGGAGGTTCAGGTGTAGGCTGCAAGCAAAACCCTGCATGTCAGGTTGCCATGGTTACTGCTCCTGCCTTTAAATAGTCATCCTGTGGCGAGCCAGTGACAGGTTTATGGGGATTGAGGAAACAAACCTTGTCATTTAAATGATGAAGAGGGAAATGGAGGTGGAGAGAAGACAGCCTGAGGGGCAACAGGCATCCCACAGCCAGTGCATCTGCCCTCCAGAGTCCAGGCACAGCAGGGAGCAGTGGAGGCTGGTGCTGGCTGGGGGAGCAGCAGTGGGTGTGGGGGCTAACAGTGAGCTACTGCTCAGTGCCAGGGCTCCCACTGCCCCAGGAGCCTGGTGGCTGTGGAGGGGCCCTGCCTTGCCTCCTGCAGGGGTGCTGTGGGCAGCACAGCCCTGGCTGAGGCCACGCAGACCAGCTGCTGGGCAGAGCTGGGCAGGTCTCGTGGCTCACAGCATGGCAGGGGGTGGCCGGGCCCCCCCCCCCCCCCACCACTTCCT